TATATAAAAATATATATATATAATAAATATTCATTCCCGAATAAATGTTGTGCTCTTCCTTTCTTGTAACAATAAGAAAACTGTGTGTTGCAAATAGCTATCTGTGAGAAAGAGAGTGCAGGACTTGCTTTCCTATTCATGTTTTGTCCTATCCCCAGCAGCACAGTCGCCCCTAAGGCAAACCTCTGGGTGCAGTTCAGCTATTTCTGGAGCCTCCAAGCCTCTTTCTTCTGTTATCTCAAAGTCAGTTCATTGAGAGGAGAAGAATGGAAATGATGGAAGTGATTTCTAAAATGGGTTCAGACAACAGAACTTGAGATGGGAGACAGGCAAGGTGATCTATTCACAGAGCTCAGGGTAGTGGCAAGGAAGGATGAGGGGAGAAAGGGAGACTCCAATTTTAGATTAACACTGGCTGACCATACTGGGTGTAGTGGAGCATGCCTTGAATCCCAGCTGAGACAGGAGGATCACAAGTTTAAGGTCAGCCTCGGCAATGTAAGAGGCCCTAAGAAACTGAGACCCTGTCTCAAAATAAAAAATAAAAGAGGTTAGGGATGTTGCTCAGTGGTTAAGCACCCAGATACCAAAAAACAAAACAAAACAAAACAAACTGACGGTCTCCCCACTTAGATACTCACTATTTCAGTCTAGACTGGATAAGGAGTATTAGGAACCTGATTTCTGGTAAGAGGGAAAATAGGACCAAAACCAAGGCAAATCCATATTGAAGTAGTCACTTGTCTACCTTTCCAACACTATTTCATGTCCTATCTTCCCTGCCTTCTTGCTGTCCAGAGCCCTTGAGATCTTCTTTTCAGCTCTCTAGATTCACAATAGAGTCCCAAGTTCCAAATTACTTTTCCCTGTTCCTCAACATAAAAAGTCCCATTCCCATTGTGTACATCTCAATCAGTTGTCTGAAAGGAAGCCTCATGTTAAAGAATGAATGGTTTATAATAGTTTTATCCAAGTGAATCTCTAAATGTGGCATTTTCATAGTGTGGGGTTAGTGACCCATTTCATGGCTTAATTTGCCTATGCTGGGTATGAGGCAGGAAAACTAAACATATATATGGCTCTCAATTCTTTCTTTTGCTAGAGAAAACAGTGATGCCTTAGATAAGAGAAAGAAAGAAGTTGAAGGGGCTGAGGTTTTAGCTCAGTGGTAGAGCACTTGCCTAGCACGTGTGAGGCACTGGGTTCCATTCTCAGCATCACATAAAAATAAATAAATAAACAAACAAACAAATAAATAAATAAAAATACAGGGATTATGTCCATCTACAACTAAAAAATATTTTGATTTTTTTTTGTGTGTGTGTGTATGTGTATGGTGCTGGTATTGAACCCAGGGCTTAATGCATGCAAAGCAAGCACTCTACCAACTAAGTTATATCCCCAGCCTAACAACTAAGATATATTTTTTAAAAAGAAGTAGAATAGAGGCTTAGGCCTAGGCTATTCCCTCCTTTCACAAAACCTCTCATTGCTATTTAGGGAAAAAAGCCAAATCCCTTTGCTGAATTGTACCCAACTAAGTACAGTTCTTATCCTTCAATTCTAAGTATAACCAGAATCTGAGAAGTTCCTGACAGAAGATCCAACTACTACAGTTTCCTTAAATTATAGATTTAAGCTATTTTTATTTATTTATTTATTTATTTATTTTTTAAGAGAGAGTGAGAGAGGAGAGAGAGAGAGAGAGAGAATTTTTAATATTTATTTTTTAGTTCTCGGCAGACACAACATCTTTGTTGGTATGTGGTGCTGAGGATCGAACCCGGGCCGCACGCATGCCAGGCGAGCGCGCTACCGCTTGAGCCACATCCCCAGCCCCTAAGCTATTTTTAGAAAGATTATAAATAGTTGTTTTTTACTTCTTCCAGATTTCTTTTCTTTTTAACTGGCTCTAGAAATATTCTCCTAATTCTAGCTCTTCTAACCTCTCTGTTTTCTCCCAAGGTCTAAGTCTAATTTTTTATTCTCATTGGCTCTAAACTGTGACCTTATGAGAACCTTGGCCCAGACCTATGTAGCTACCACTGTCTTCAGACTATCATGAGTGGGTTCCATCAAACTGATGATAACAGTCTTGTAAACAATGCTATAGCTGTTTACTACCCAAAACTCCTACTTAATTAAACTGTTACCAAACTTTGTCTTTTTTAGGTTTCCATGTGAGGTTTGATGCTATATGCCTAACTATTTTCAGAAACCTTAGGTCTTAAATTGCATTAAAATGGCCATCCTGAGTTCTTCCATAGCTCCAGACAACAGTTGGGAGGAGCCAATACCACCAGATACCAAAGGGAACCATAGAGGGGCATCGTAATTACTCACTCTTCTTAAATTTGCCATTGATGAAAGGGATCCATCTAGAATCAGCTGCCAAACAGTTGGCCACAATAGTCCCACAGCATCCACATCCCTACTGCAAGAATCCAGTTTTCTAGCCCCAGTATGGTGGATGCAGGAAACTGCTTGACTATCTATAGTCCTTCATTTCCATCTTTTTAAAATTAATTTTTTAAAAATATTTATCTTTTAGTTTTCGGTGGACACAACATTTTTTTTTTTGTTGTTTGTTTGTATGTGGTGCTGAGGATAGAACCTGGGCCACACACATGCCAGGCGAGCGTGCTAACGCTTGAGCCATATTCCCAGCCCTCCATCTTTCTTATTGTTGATCTCAACTGCCCACTATGCAGTACAAACATGATTATGAATATAATTAAATGTGAGCCTGTACAAGTTAAAATATTATATATCTAAACTCTCTGCATATACTTTATATTTCTGTGTTACTCATATAAAATAGTCATCTGATAAGAAGTACAACATTATTATAACATCGTACAACAAATATGAAAGTAAAGGAAAACTGCTTTCTACAGCTCTTCCAGTCCAAAATATTAAAAATCATATATAATTATATGACTATTCAAATTTGGATTCTTCACATGATTTGAAGGTTTCCAGAGTTCAAAGAATAAGGAAAAGAAGTCATGATATTGTACAGTTAAGAAAGTTGAGGGGCTGGGGCTGTAGCTCAGTGCAGAGCACTTGCTTAGCATGCATGAGGCTCGCCTGAGTTCGATCCTTAGCACCACATAAAAAAATAAAAATAAATAAATAAATTCTTAAGGTAATAAAATAAACAGATAAATTCATACCTCTGAATGCCTGGGTACTAGATCCAATACATCTCTTTTGCTCATGGACCACTGGAATGTGAGCCCAGGGTTGGCATTGCTGAAGGAGAAAGGGGTCTGGGTACTGGTCACGCCCATAACATAAACTGGCATCTTAAAAGAAAAGGTGGTATTATGTTACATATTCTGTCCACCTGGAATTATCAGGTTTTTTTTCCTGGCACTGGGTATTGAATCCGGAGATGCTTTACTACTGAGCTATGCCCCAGCCCTTTTTTTAATCTTGAGACAAGCTGACCTCGAACTTGTAATTCTCCTGCCTCAGCATCCTGAATCTTGGATTACAAGTGTACACCACCATGCCTAGCTAACCTGACATCATCTAGAATAATGAACCCAAAACATAGTCATCATACTGACCTCAGTAGCTGTGATGAGTCTAGTTGCAGCTGCAAGGATCCTAACAGCCCTCAGCTGAACAACATCAATCTGTACTTCATCCTGCTCAGGAGGGTAGAGGGCAAGCTTAGGTTAAAGGGAAATCTCTGTGGGGTGCACACATATGCTCATGATAACCAGTTTATTGTGTTGTTTTTGGCACTCAACAAAAAAATCGATACCATGAATATGTTTGGTTTTGTTCTTTAAAGAATTCTTTAAGGATAGGGACCATGTCTTACAACAATGCCAAGGACTCTGTGAGTTTTCCACTAAAGATTATGTTTTCCATGCCTGATTAAGAGAATAGCAGGTGAGGGAGACTAAAAGAGTTTTCCTGGGATGCTGACACCCTCCTTATCACCCTCCACAAATCCCCAATACAGTTCCCAAATGAAAGGGTAGAAGCAGAGCACAGCAAAGAACTAATACCTGGGAAAACACAATGACTTTGCCAGTATCTTCATTTACTGTCTGGATGGTGCCATGGACCACAGCTGTGCCAACCACTTTCCCTGTAACTTGCCCCCTCCTATTGACAACAGCCACAGTCTGATTACTGATGGAGAAGTGAATGATAGATTGGGGCTGAGGGCCACCTTCAGACATTACCTGGAATTTAAACATACCAGTGAATGCCTGGAATGTGGATGAGAAGTCACATCTTTTTTTCCCAACATTTTGTCCAAGCAACTTGACTTCTTTATCTTCCCCCTCTTCCTGAACAGCATATCCCACACAACTCAAATGCAGAAGAAATGGAAGTGCTGTAAATGATCCACAGGATTCCAAGAGAGTTTATACCATGAACATCACAGATCAGGGAAAACTCACTTTCTTCTTTATCAAGACCCAGTTGAACTTGGCTAGGAGTATACAAACCAAGACCAATAGGAAGAGGGGTGTATGTGTGTAAAGGAGAAATGGTAAATCTTATATTCTGCCTTTGAGATCACCTGCATCATGTTAGTTGGAATCAGTGTCATTTTCTCTGGAACAAGTCTGAATGGAGGAAATACCTTGAAAGAGAAAATCAAAAGGACAACAATGATTAGAGTTAGTTTTGTAACAAATGATTGATCTTATTCATGTTTGTTGTTTTCTTTCAGTATTAGGGGTGCTGTATCATTGAGCTACCTCCTCGGTCTTTTTGTTTTGTTTTTGTTTTTGGTACTGGGGATTGAACCCAGTACCACTGAGCCACAATCCCAGCCCTTTTCATTTTTTGAGACAAGGTCTTGCTAAGTTGCTTAGGGCCTCACTAAGTTGCTGAGGCTGGCCTAGAACTTGTGATCCTCCTGCCTCAGCCTTCTGAGTTGTTGAAATCACAGGAATGCGCTTCAATACCCAACTTGTATTTTAATTTTATTTACAATAGAAAAAAATTTAGCCAGGTGTGACAGCGCATGCCTGTAATCCTAGTGATTTAGGAGGCTGAGGCAGGAGGATTATAAGTTCAAAGCCAGGCTCAGCAATTTAGCAAGGCCCTAAACAACTTAGTGGGATTCCATTTCAAAATAAAAATGTAAAAAGACTGGGGATGTGGCTCAGTGGTTAAGCATATCTGGGTTCAATCCTTAGTACCAAAAGAAAAAAAAAATCTTACTTAAATAAGTTACTACATATTCACTCATTGCAGTAAAAGTCACCACTAAAATTATGTTTACATTTGGATTGGGGATATTAGCTTCAGTATAGAGTGCTTGCTAGCATGTGTGGAGCCATGGGTTCATAAGAATGTTCAGTGATAAAGCACCCCCTGAGATCAATCATCGGTACCAAAAAAAAAAAAACAAAACCAAAAAACCCAAAACTTAAAAAGTTAATTGAAATATATTTTTTTCTTTTTGTGGAGCTGAGGATTAAACCCAGGAGCAATTTACTACTCAGTTACATTCCTATCCTTTCTTATTTATTTATGCATTTATTTATGTATTTATATATTTATTTTTGGTACCAGGAATTGAACCTGGGCACTTTAACCACGGAGTCACATCCCCAGACCTTTTTATTTTTTATTTTGAGAAAGAGTCTTGATAAGTTGCTGAGGCTGGCTTTGAACTTGTGGTTCTCCTGCCTCAGCCTCCTGAGCTGCTGGGATTACAGGGCTATGCCACCACAAGTGGTATTATTATTATTATTATTGAACCCAGGGCCTTGTGCATGCAAGGCAAGCACTCTACCAACTGAGCTATATATCCCCAGCTATTATTATTATTTTTGAGACAGAGTCTCCCCAAATTGCTTATGGCTTCTCTAAGTTGTAGAGGCTGGCCATGAACTTGCTATACACCTGCCTCAATCTGGAATTGCAGGTGTGCACCATCATGCCTGGACTTTCTTTTTTGAATATATATAAAACTAGAAAGGACAGTATCATAAACTCTCAGGTACCTAATTATCCAGATTCAACAATTATCAATCTATAGCCAACAATTATTTTTTAATGAGTTAAGAAAACACTTTTGATACAAGATTATGATGAAAAAAGCTGTATGATTTATTTGTATTGAAATATGCATAGACGCTGAGCAGGTGGTAAATGTCTTCAATCTCAGAAATTTGGGAGTCTGGGGCAGGAGAATTGCAAGTTTGATGCCAGCTTCTGCAATGAAAAGTTCTGAGAAAGTAGAACTCATTGGGTTCAATCCCTAGTACCAAAAAAAAAAAAAAAAAAAAAAACCCCAAAACAAAAAAACAAACAAACAAAGGGTAAGAGTCAGACATGGTAGCATGTTTCTGTTATAGTAACAGTTACTTGGAAGACTGAGGCAGGAGGATTACTTGAGTCCAGGAATTAAAAGCCAGCCTGGGCAACCTAGTAAGACTCTGTCTCAAAAAAAAATGATGATGATGATGATGATGATGATGATGATGATGATGATGTGTAGAGGAAAAATTTGATGGAAATTTTACTTTTATTTTTATTTTTTGAGGTACTAGGGATTGAACCCCAGGGCAATTTGCCACTAAGTTACACGCCAAGCCCTTTTTAAAATTTTGAGACAGGATCTAAATTGCCAAGGCTGGTCTCAAACTTGTGATCTTCCTGCCTCAGCCTCCCAAATAGCTGGGATGATGGGCATGTGCCACAGCATCTGGCTTCATTCTGTGTTTTTATACTTTTTTATACATATCAAAAATTTTACAGGAGCTGTATTACTTTAAAATTTTGTTTTGTAGTTGTAGATGGACAGCATGCCTTTATTTTATTTGTTTCATTTTTATGTGGTGCTAAGGATTGAACCCAGTGCCTCACGCATGCTAGGCAAGTGCTCCGCCTCTGAGCTACAGCCCCAGCTCCAGGAAATGTATTACTTTTATACAGAAAAACAAAAGCCAAAAACATACTACATGCTGTACAAGAATCAGACAACTATGTGTTTTTTTTTTTCAGTCAAATGATTTTCAACTTGTGCAAACTAAAAAGAAAAGGATAAGCAAAGCTAAATAAGAAGAACACAAATTTGGGATGAGATCATATCCTTACTTCAATTTGTCGAGGAGCCGATGTGAATTTTCTCCCCATCTTGTCTCTGGCAATAGCCACGAGTGTGGTTTGCCCAATAGTGACAGCCCGAACTATATAATTTTCAGAGTATTCATCCTGTTCCTCCATTAGTCTGCAAAGACCCACGTGTTTTTAGGTGAGAAAGATTTTGTTTTGAAAGTGGCCCGTGATGTGTCTTTACAAGTGTTAACATTTTCTGCTCATTTAATTCTGGTTATAGTAAACTTTCAGAAAAGAAATTTCTAGAGTCAAGACATATTTCATGGCAACAGCATGAAGGGCAAAAATTTGTTTTAAGGCTTGCAAAGGAATAAGGACAATATAGCTGGCAAAATTGTAATCGCTGTGGAGGTTTCATGTTTTTTCCTTTTTTAGAGGAGGATAGCAGTATCTGCTTCTCAACAGATTTTTTTTTTTTTGGTGGTCCTGGGAATGAAACCTTAATAAAATTTTGAAGATCCCCTAGCCTGAAGCTTTCCCAAAAGATATCATCCAAGGAGAAGATTCCAAAAATGAAAATTATTGATGATACACATGATTTTAGCCCCTAACAAGACATCTAAGTACACTGAATAGGTATTTTGTAGAGAGCAGAATATGAGAATACAGTATGGTCTGAAAGGCACTATAGTAAAAAAGGACAGGAGAAAATGTGAAATGACCTGTGGGGCAGCTGACTGGGCTACCATGAGGGAGATTCTCATGATACTAAGCATTAAGGAGAGAGAAATATTGAAATGGTACTCACGTCAGGGTGACAATGGCAGATGCCAACTGCAATTTGAGCTCCATGTTTCTGAAGTATTTGTTTAGGAATGGGCGTTTGGAAGAGTCAAGAACCCTCACAGTCACCAATACAGTTTTGCCTATCTCAACCTAGTAGTTTGAAAGAAAACAGAAAACAAAAAACAAAAAGAGTAGATTGTAGTAGTGGTGTCCTATCCACCAAAGATAGTGTCACTCTTTGAGGTTGGCAGACTTTTTGTTCGTGCTAAATGTTACTGGTCAGCCTTTGATCAAATGAACCTAATCTTCATGTACCTTTTAAAATCATTCTTTAACACTCTCCCTTTATCTCCCTTATGTTTAATATTGCAATGTTGTTCTTTAAGGGCAAGTATTTCCATTAACTTTTCAAAAGTCCTGGGGTACACACAGTATTTGAGCAGAGAAACTATTAAGTGATGCTAGGGAGTGAGATTGAAGCTTGCTTCATTTTTGAGTTAACATCTCTCACCTTATCTATCAGATCAAGTTCCAGCTCTTGTATGTCTGACACCTGGAGATGGGCTGTTGCTGGACCCAAGAAAGCCAAGCACAGATCATAGACCTCCAAGGTGAGAAATCCAGGATGTACTGGAACTAACTAGAAGGAAGAAGATGGTAGATGGGTAAAGAAGCAAACATAGTCTAGGCATAGTCGTAGCAATTGTTTTCACCCAAAGAAAAAAAATACATCTTACTTCCTTTGAGATTGGAACTCTCAGAGATCAGGTTATATGCACTGTTTATTATGTTTCAGTTCATGGTAAAATATGTACCTTAACACATTAGCTGATAAATAGCAGAGTTTGAATTAATTGGATTTAAGCAGGATCCAACATACATATCCCACTTGTCTTTATTATTATTATTATTATTTTGGTACCAGGGATTGAACCCAGGGGCACTCAACCACTGAGCCACATCCCCAGCCCTTTTAATATTTTATGTTGAGACAAGGCCTTGCTAAATTTCTGAGGCTGGCTTTGAACTCACAATTCTCCTGCCTCAACCTCCTAAATTGCTGGGATTACAGGTGTGTACCACTCTGCATGGCTCTTTTCATTTGTTAAGACAGGTTCTCACTAAGTTGCTAAGCATCTTGCTAAGTTGTTCAGGCAGACTGAAAACTTGTGATCCTCCTGTCTTAACCAGTCACTGGGGTTATAGCCATTCACTACAATGCCCAGCTCATTTCTCACTTCTTTAAAGAAAAAATTTTCTTTTAGTTATACACGGACACAATATTTTATTTTATTTATTGATTTTTATGTGGTGCTGAGGATCGAACCCAGTGCCTCACCCGTACGAGGCAAGCGTTCTGCCACTGAGCCACAACCCCAGCCTCATCATTTCCCACTTCTTAATTATGGACAGGGAAAAGATTTCATGAAGAAAATCAAGTCCATAAATGCTGCAATCACCAGTGAAGTAGAAATTAAAACACAATACCATTTACATCTATACCATTTACTGATAGCTTTTTTCATTAGATCTTTGCACAACAGCATGTTTTTTTTTTTT